CGAGTGAAAGGAAGGAAAATAATTTGTAGGATAAAGAGTTTTGGAAAGTGGAAAACTGGGACAAAATGATTGCGGTGATTATGATTGAGTGAAATTTCAATAAACTTTTTGTTTTTCGAGAGATAAGCTTGAATCTTTCGTCATTCGATAGACCATGTTGACATGTAGCTACATAAATAGAAGGGTGTAGAAGTTGTTCATAGAAAAAACATGATGAATAAATTCTACATCCACACTTCCACTCCAAAATGCGTTCCTACAGAGACATTGGAAGCAAGGTCTCGAAAACGCACACTTTTGGACCCCAAAATCGAGTGGTGCGGCCAAGGTGTTCAAACACGAATTCGTAGATGGCGTTTTCAAGTGCGAATTCGTACTTCGGTGCAATTAACCGGTACTTCAATCACTGTGTATAACGCTAATAGTTACTATGAATATGCTGATAATAACTAACGTACAACAAGATAGGATTATACATATGGAAATAAAAATTGAGTTCTCCACTTCTATTTGAACTTTAGTCTAATAAACTTGCTTTCGATAATTGGTCAATCTACAAAATATACATTCTTACTTAGCAATATAAAATTGAGTTCCACCTATTGCCATAACAGAAAAATTTTGACGCAACGCGTCACACGATGAACCATGTATATGCTGAGTATTTATCATTGATATTATTTTTCTTCGTTCCATACATAGTTTCACTGTTCAATTCAATAATACACTATCTTTTAGTTCATTCTTTATATCATTAATAAAATCAGACATACGAAATTCTGTTGTCGTATTTGGTTTCAATATTCCCATCCGATACAATAGACGTAAAGCTCCTTCATCTAAACTTTCATTCGGACGTCGTTTCGATGGATTAAGCATTATCGAGTCACATAACGTAGTTATTGAGCTATGATAGTCATCTTACTATGGTAATTCTTTTTTATCAAATTGATGTCCATAATTCTTTATTTTTTGAAAAAACGGTTACCCCCATATTAAAGCTCAGTACGCAACAAGCTACAGCAGATTCCACATTTTTTCAGCTAAAAGCATTTTTGATAATAGTTGGTTAGACCATAGGTGGGATTATATAACAGACTCGTGAGTAAGGTCCGCTGGATAGCCGAAGCTGTTAACGGAAGGCTGAAACAGCGGATGTTTTCCAGAAAGGTCATAGCTAACAGTTGTATACGGCATAGTCAAGCATATTGTCTGTGCTAGA